AACTTATAAATTATTATTGGTCATATTTATTTTATTCATTTATTTGAAGATAGATTATTATATCAAATATAATTTAAGAAGTGGCTAAACACACATATACTAGTTAAAATGAGTTTTCTTAGTTTAATTAATGGATGATATAGCAAAATTATATTATTTAGAACATAGATTGTTTAGTTTAATATTAGAGTTTGAATAAAAATAAGAAAATTTTATGAGGACAAAATGTTGAAGGCTTTTCATAACTTTTTTGTAAAAAATAACAATTAACCATTTGAAGAAAAAAAAATTAACATGAATATAACTTTTTTATTTACATTTTTTAAAAATAAAAGCAACATAAAGCTCTCAAATGTATTCTTCTAGTTAAATTTTATTATTTTTGTTTAAATTCTAATTTCTTAAATCTAAACTCCATAATTTATGTTTTGAGTAATGTAATTTGCTATGTTGACTGTTTGTTAAACTGAAACAAAATATGAAAATAAAAATACATACTATATGTATCTAAGAAGGTCTCCGTCGCTGCTTTTAATATAATATTCAAATTGATATTATTGTAATTTTCAGTTTGAGGGTCTTCTTCCATCATAGAGCCATTGGTTTGTGTATTTCCTTGAATTTTAGGGACAGGTTCACAAAATGCCCACTGCACTTTTGGTAACACAGTACCAATGTTTAGTACTTCTAGAGCATTTCTAAACATTTCACACCTTTAATAAAATGTATTTTATAAAATATTAGCATTTTAGGGAAGCAAATAAATTATATACTAATACCTTCTGGCAATTCCTTTCATACAATCCATATAGTTTATAACAAATTAGATGTAAAAATGATTGAAGCTTCATTTGTTATTAAAAAAAGCTTTGAAAATAAATCTTGCGAACAGTTTATGATGATGTTTTGGAGAACAAAGATTTGTTGAAAAAAGTCGACAACTCGTCCAAATATTCAACTAAAAAAAACTTTTGAGAACAGTTAATTTTTTTTCTGAATAACTAAGAGTTTATTTTTTTTGACGAAAAGAATATTTAAAAATAAATTTGTATATATTTTTCTTTCAAAATATTGTATTGTATTGTATTGGTAATGAATTGTAATACATTTTTAAATAAAATAACGGATATTATTATTTTCATGTATCTATACTAAAAAAAAAAAAAAAAATGTTATTCAATATGATATCCCAGTTTGGTGATTTTAAAATCTGGCAACCCTATGCTATGAGAAGGTCTGGTCCGTAAGGTGTCATTATATTGTGTGTCAACATATTTTTATAAATATTTATATTTAAAATATATCTGATGTCTGAATTAATAATTAATTAATAAACAATATACACGGGCTTTAATATATTTTTTACCCACGTACCCGGGCCTGTACTTGTATAGTCTAATACCCGTTCAGAACCACGACCCCTACTTTTAATATAATTATAGTTTTATTTAATAATTTGATGAGAAAATCTAATAATTACCAACTTAAAGTACCCCCTTAAAAAATTTTTCTTTCAGAAAAAGATCTACATCGTATACTTGGGAGTAAGCTTTCTGATAGAAGAAGTGTTCACATAAAAAAAAATATATAAAAAAAAAATAAACATCTTTGTAAAATCAATATATTCTTTGCTACACTCAGAATCGGTACAATTATAAACAAATATTATTAAAAATATATAATGCCTATTTAATTAGTTTATTTAATTATTTTAATTACAATTAAAATATATTAGTGACAAAACATCATTATCAATTGAATTCTGCTCAACAGAATCGGCTTTTCGTTAGAAATGGTTTATTGTAGACATTACCTTTATTGTTTCTTTAATAATATTTATTTAAAATTGTATCGATTTTTCCGTTTTCCCCGGTTTTTCACATTTACTGGAAAAATTCTTGGGAAAATCGAAAAATGACACACTTCAAGTACCTTCTCTGCCAGATTTCCATTCAGAAAAAGTGCTATGATTTTAAATCTGAACAAATGCATTTAAATAGTTATACACTGAAAAAAAAGCCCATAATATGTTTTTTCTAATACCTACATTTCGTAAATTTTCCGTTTTTCCGACAGTTTATCCCGGTTTTTCGCAGATATTATGAAAACCACTTGAAAAATCAAAAAAAAGACTTCATTAAATTACCATGGGGATAAAATTGTCTTTCAAAAAATAAGCTACACTTGATACATGGAAGCAAGATTTCTGGTAGAAAAGTTTACACACCAAATCAAGGGGTATTTTGCGATTCAAATAGTCCGAGCAGGAGATAGCTTTAGTCTGTAGCCTTCTAGGTACACCCGAAATGCATTTGTTTTATTTTTGTTCAGGTAAAAGGAAAAAAAATGTAAAACATTATTTTTCGGGTTTCTTGGATTTGAGCTCGTGATTCCAAGCGTATGTACAACCATTAGACTAAGAAAAACATTATTTTAAAAAGAAAATATAGTTATTTAACATAAAATATATATCCACATAATATCAGAACTTTAAAAAGCTATAATTTCGAAACTTAGTCAGTCTTCTCAATTCTGAATTCACCATTGTTCTCCATTCGGCAGTATACATGTTCAAAAAAAAAAAATTGAAAAATTAGATTTATTCCACATAATTTTTTACTCAAATGAATTTTGTCAAAATTTGGTATTAAAATTTCTTTATAAAAAAAATACTACATTAAACTCAATTGTTTTTTTTTTTGGACCACAAAAACTTAATGAACCTGCTGTTAAATTATCACTCGTTTTAGTTCGACAATTTTATCACACAGTAGAATTTGAATCAAAATATCTAATAGAATTTTTGTACACAATATAAAAAAATTAACATCTTGGTAAAACTAATACATTCTTTACCACACAGAATCTAAAACAAGCAAAGTGAATGTGTTTTTATGTAATAAATAATACCGGGAGACATCTTACCTTTCATATACAGTTACAATGTATTATACGTTTAATTGTATTTTGATGTTATTTTAACATTGTGATATTTACTGATCATACTGATAATATTGTATTGATATGTTACAAATAAAATTTAGTTCAATAGAATAATAAAAATTAAAAAACCTATAATAGTTTCTTTGGCATGTGAAAGCTACATATTAAGAATCTTAAATAAACAATGTATATGTAAGAAATAACTTGGACTGGAAAAGCCGGAAAAGGTTGGTTATGTTTTTCTCAAATATTAGTTTAATTTTAAAAATCAAAATATAATAACTAATTTTAAAAAAAATATGACCGATATATATCTATTGACTGATGGAAAGAAAAAAAAATATCTAAATAAAACCAATAACTTCTTTTAGAAACTACATTCAAAACAGAAACATTTATTAAAAATGTGATACTTAAATAAATTAATTAAAGGAAAGAAATCAAACTCATTCTATTAAAACTAAAAGACATTTTGTTTATTATGTTTGAAAAATTTAGTCTTGAATATTGGTTAGGTTCTTCTAATATTTTTCTAGGCATATTTCACCCCCCCCGATCCCCACCGAAGAATATATATTTTTTTTAATACTGTGACAAATATTTCTACTAGAAATCTTGCTCCGATATGTACGTGCGGCACTATTTCTAAAAGGAAATATTGTCCAGATTGTACTTTTAGGTAATTTTTTTATTTTCACAACTATTCTCATAATATCTGAGAAAACCCGTGATGAAACGTAAGAAAAACGAGAATTTTACGAAAATTATGTTTTTTATTAATTTCAATCTTGTATAATATTTATTGTAATTCAATTAAAAATGTGTATAGAAACTTGACATTTGGAAATAAAACTTATATTTGCTTTTTCTAGATATAGTAAAATGATCGAGCTTTATAGACATTTTAATTTCTTGAGTTTTGTAGGAACGTCATTTTTATTTGGTAAGTACTCTGTGATAAAATTGTAAGATTTAACAGAAATGCTTGAAAATTTAACAAGAAGCTCATTATTTTTTGGTCAAATAAAATATATTTAAGCTTACTAATGTAGTATTTTTTTTATAGAGAAATTTTAATATCAAATTTTGACGAAAATCGTTTGGGTAAAAAATGTGGAACGAAATTTAATTTTTCAATTTTTTATTTTGAACGTATGTATATTACCGACGATGAAGTCAGAATTGAGCTGACTGACTTAGTTTCGAAATTATAGCTTTTTGAAGTACTGATAATATGCGGGGATATTAAATGTTATGTTAAATATTGTCAAATGTATAGCATGTTTATCGTAGTCTAGTGGTAGTGCGTAAATTGTCATACTATAGATCGCGAGTTTGTAACCCGTGCACATTGTACCAGAATTAGTTTATAATTGGACAACAATATTTGTTGACGTATTTCACTTGATTTGGGTTTATATAAGTCTTAGAAATAATTATTTAAAGATTAAAATAAAAAATTATTTACTTATTAGTAGAGCTGGGAATATAATGCCCTATAAAACCCTAAACAATGCCCTTAAAAAAATGCTTTAATGCCATGAAAACTCTAAATAATGAACTAAAAAAATACAGGTCAATTGTTTTTATTTTTAATAAATTAAGTATAAATTTTAAATAATATTTGATTAAATTAATTAAGTTTTAATGAAAGTAATTAAAATAATTTTTTTATAGGCTAAATTTTAACTTGTACATTCTGTAGACTCTGAACTGTTACACTGAATTACCAGAGATTGTTTAAGATTTTCGAATAATAACGATCTTCTGTTATCTGCCAGCAAATTTTTGTAGATAGAGAAGCTCATTTCAACGTCTACCGAAGTGATGAATGAATATTTAAAAAACGCCAAATCATTTACTGTTATATCATCCAGAATTTCATTTGTTGTACCTTCTTGCCCATTCAAAATATCTGATACATCGGAAAGGATTTTATATCCTTTATTTTTATTTAAAACCTGAGTCACTTTTTTGTAAATGGTTTTTCTGATTTCATTTGGAACATTTTGAATTTTAGCTTTTATTTTTATTTATTTATTTTTATTTATTTATTTTTATTTATTTATATTTATTTTTATTTTAATGTTTATAGAATCAGCTAAAGTTATACCGGAAGTTTCTAATTGCGTAATAGATATTGCTAACGTAGTAAAATTTGCCTTAATGTATACTAAGTTATGTTTCAAGTTAAATGCAGAAAATAAATGTTCAGCTTTGGAAACTGCAACTGCGTCTTTTTCATCTAATTTATCGATAATTTCTTTAATAAGTTCAAAATGTTCGCAATAGTACATCGAAGTATTTAACCAAATTCCCCAACGCAAATACAGGTTTCGAAGGTAGTGAGACATCTGGTCCCATTGTTTTAAATATTTGGATTCGCGATGGCATTGGACTTGCATTAGCGTGTAAAATCTTAAAATAAAATTTCAAGTTTGAATTTTGAACCCAAAAACTCCAACAATATCCTAAAAATCGTAAAATGTCCTAAAAAACGAAGAAAAAACATTAAAATTAAAAATGGTCTAAAAATGCAAAATAAATTTTCTTATTTTTATTCAGAAGTACATGTTATGGATATGTGACCGAGAATAAGAATTCCTTCTTATTCTTACGAGCATCAAATAGCAACCTCTGGAAAAAAATGAATCGAAATCCCAGCCCTACTTATTAGTTATTTGCTTCCATTTGTGTTTATTTTTACCAGGAATTTTACTCAGATTTACAATGATCTAATAAATTAGAAAAACCGGGAAAATGTACGAAATGTGGGTATTATAGTTGTAAAATATTACAGCCTTATTTTTTCCTGTGGACATTTCTACCAGCAATTTTGCTTCGAATTACAACGATAATACTTTTTCTGAATGTAAATCTAACTAGAATGGTACTTCAAAGAGGTCATTTTTTATTTTTCATTTTTAATTTTTAATTTTCATTGACGATATTCCACTTTAAAATTCTGGTTGGAGGAAAGTAGTGGAGTGTGTGGCAGTACGACGCGCAACATGTTTTAATGCACCACTTCTCTCCTCCAACATAAAATTAAAAGGGAATATCTCGTCGAAAATTAAAAATGTCAACACTAAAATTCATATTAACTAATACTTCATCTATTTATGGAATTTATAATACAGGTTGCCATTTGAAAATCAAAAGTACGTAGTGGTCTTTTCTCCAAAAATAAGGGCGGAAAAAAATAATACAGATATAAAATTGTGGAGCAGCTTGATTCTTAAATGTTCTAGAAAACAAATTCTGGAAAAAGTTAATACTTACCGAGATAATGAATGTACCTACTTAAATGAATCACCTGGTACAGTCATATTTTTAGCAATGTTATTAAATTCTTCATAATAATTCTTATAAGTTATGACTATGCTATCTACTATTTAATGTTTTTGTAATTGATATTTGTGCATTGAACTTGAACCGATAGTAAGCTTTGTTAGTCTCACTTGAATTGGTTTCCCCTGTATGTTCCTCTGTAGGTATAACATTTTACTAAAATGCCACCCAGTAAAAATTCCTTAAAATATGCTTTGATGTAATGCACATGTATTATAATTTATAGATAATCATAAATAATTAACAAATTTAGGTGAACAAAAAATAATTATGATAACATTTTAAATTATTATATATTGTATATCAAACCAAATACTAAAAATAGTAAGTAAAGTTTATAAGTGGGTTTGGTACCTATCTAAAAAGAATGTGCAATTGATATCAATAACTTAATAATAATAAAATGTTATTTCTAATGAGTCAAAAAGTGCAAAAAGTTTAAAAAAAAAATACGATTAAATGCCTTGTTTCATCCCTATACAGTTATGGGAAACATGGAAAAATGTAGGAAAATTGGGAAAATCAGTACAACAGTAAACATATATATTTAACAAGCATATTTAATTACTTTTCTACAAAATGACATATATTGTTGACAAAGTATCACTATCAACCAAACTTTGCTCAGAATCAGTTTTTCATAAGCAATGGTTTATCTTTGATAGCAAGATACTTAAGTTAAATTACTTATACCAGTAGCTGTACTAATCCTTTTTATCGTAAACAATGGTTTATCCTTGTTTACAGGTATAAATTAAATTATCTATAACAATGGCTACACTTGTCCTCATTTTCATTATTAGGACATCTTTTTTTAATTGCTTCTAAAATACAAAACATATAAATTTATATATAAGTACATAGTTTTTAAGCAATAATAAATAGATAAAAATTTAATCTATAATACATATTATAAATATATTAATTAATGAATACCTATTAAAATAATATAAAATATTATGTATGTATTATTGTATTAATAGGATGGTTTTTAGATTAAAATAATATCCAAAAATGAAATAAAATATAAAATGTAAATTATAATGACATATAATAATAATTCTACATATTATATTTTCTATACATGCCATCAATTATTTTACAAAATTCCAAGGACTGGAAGCATATTTTAGATACCAATTTTTTTCCAGCAATGTAAACTTATACAAAAATTCAGTGTTAAAATTTTAACCATAATTTTTTTTACAGCAGAGCCACAATTTTTCCACCAATGTTAGATAGATAAGGGATCTAAAAAAGTTAAATTATTTGTAATTACCTTTAAAACTATTATTATTATTGTGTAGGTAGGTATATAATTATATATATGTATATATAATAATAAAAAGCTTGTTGTGCATATTTTCTTACAATTATCTGTTGAAAAGTAGATTCTTATATAGGTTTATTTGGTTCCTAGTGAAGACTAAGTCAGTTCTTAACACTATGATATTTATAATTGAATTGCAATATTCAGTATCCAATACCATTTGCTCTTCAATTTGTTTAAGGTCTTCTATATTTTGTTAAAGAAATAAATCTGGTATGGGATATTGATAACACTATGGTCAGATAAACTTCCTTTTATTCGAATGTCTTCTAGCATCTTGTTTTTCTTATATAGCCCTAAGTTTAAACTTGATCATGACTTGTCTTTTTAATAATAGTTTAAGAATATCATCATCATCTGAAATATACATTTTTATTAGAGTAAAATATTAAAAATTAAAACTCAATTTAATATATCTATTACCTACTTGCAAAATTTTATTCATTGGCATACTCAATAATAATTATTATTAATATATGTACACTTATTTAATAGTATAGGTACTCAATTTAAGTTATCTATATTTGTAATAAATATAGATAATTTAAACTTAGTTCAAATCTAGTTCAAAAAATACCTATACCTACCTAATAATCATATATTCATAGACAAAATTATAAAAATTATGTACAAAAACTTTAAAATAAATTATAATTTATTTTAAAGTTAATAATAAAGTTTATTTAAAGTTGTATACTTATAAGTATACAATTTGATACTTATTATTATTCTTATATGATATAGGTACTTTTCGCAAGAAGACTATTCTTTTGTGGATGATCAATTTTTATTTCTTGTTTTTCTCTTTTTCACCAACTTCATCAGAACATATTTTTTTATTTTTTTGTAAATATTCATTGGCTGAAAATATAATGTATTTTATTACTTATATATGATACTAGTACTAATTAATTTAACCTACTATAATATTTTATGAAAAATGAATTATATAAGTCTGTACTTATTATATTTATTATAGCTGTATACACATATATGTATTACTGTATGAGTTTACATAGATATATATATATATATGTATATATAATATAAAACATATATACCTATTTATAATATTATAATATATCTGCAAAAAAATATTGAAATAAATTATTTATTTAAATACATTTATGAATCAGTATTATCAGAATCTACTTTTCCTCCCTACCTAAACTGTATATAATATAATACTTACAAAATATATTGGGAGACATATTGTCACATTCAGAATTTTCTTTCTCATTATTTACAGTAAGCATTATGGGATATTCAAAACTAATACTATAACTAACTTCGGTTGCTCTAGATGATGAGGTTAGTGTCTGATTTTATCTTGCGGCTTTTTATTAAAAACAAGAGATTCATCATTTCCTGAAAAGTCAGAATACTGTTCCGCAATTTTCATTTTAATTCTGGCTTCCAACAAACTTTCTAATAGACAAAGAAAATATTTCAAGTTTGTTGTACCTAGTATATTTTCTTTAATAATATTTGTTTAATGTTGTACCGGTTTTCCCATGTTTTATCTTAGTTTTTCACATTTGCTGGAAAAACTCTTGGGGAAATCGAGAAATAACCTTTCTAAAGTACTTCTCTTGTGAAATTTATATGTATAAATATAAATGCTATATTATAGCAGTATTACCTAACGGGGAGGGTTAAATTCCTAGGGAGAAAGTTAGGTACTGTGTGATGAATAATATAGGGATGAGAAAATTATAAGAATAAAATATAAAAAGTGCAAATTTATTATATCTAAAATTAAAAATAATTTATCTCATATTTTGTATTAATAGGGGAAGGCATAAGATTTTTAAAAACCTACAAGGGGGAATAGAATAAAACAATTTGGGAATCACTGTATTATAGAATATTACAACCCAAGTTGTCACACATACTACAATCCTTGGTATAAATCTAGATTAGCATCTCCTTGAAATTTCGGATTTTTTTTTTCAAACTTATTTATTTCAATATTTTCACTATCGCTTCGCTTCGCGCTTATTGTGACAATTAAAATTTAATGAGTGCATTATGAAATAAAACTCTACTTCAGAATCTTCTATTTTATTTTTTTTTTTTTTCAAAACCTAAATAAATAAACAATTAAACTTACATTGATTGTCACTTCCACCTTGCTGGCCACTGGTGATCCGTAACCCTAACAAAATTTTGTAATATGAATACCAACAAACCATCATCAATTAATACCAAAAATAAACCAAATAAATGTATACCACCGTTACCTATCACAAAGACAATTAAACACTGTTCATATAACAAATTTAATTGGTAAATCGATTCAAACAAACGTATCAGATCACCTAATAACAATACCCTCTCACCTCGTATGAAAAAAACAAATGAATCAAAAAACTTCATCTCCACTAATCGCTACTCCTAATTGCTCTTATTGAAGAATATAACATGGACATTGAAACTCCAGTCGAACCCAAAGAACCTCCTCCTTCACCGCCAATTTTTATTACATCTCGAATTAAGTATGTTGATCTATGTAATAAATTGCAAACAATAATGAAAAACGAGTTTCTATTGCAAATCCACAACGAAAAATATAAAGTTAAACCGCTAATTTGTCAATTCTTCACAGTAATAAAGTTACGCAATGAAAACAACTTTGAGTATCCGACACATGCAGAAAAATCTTACAGATTTGTTACATCATTTTACCTACATCATTCAATTCCAACCAAATACATCAAAGAAGATATCGAATCAAACGGATTCTTAGTGAAAAACGTCACAAATATACTAAAACCTCAAACTAAAGAGCCACTTCCATTATTATTTGTGTCCATCTTAACCCGTTACCAAATAATCAAGATATCTTTAAATTAAATACTATTTGCTTCACCAAAGTAAAAGTAGAACACCCAGCACACTCTCACAAATAGTCAAAGGTAATAAATCAAACATTTCAAAACTAAATAATTCGAATGATACTCAACCTAATCAACTAATAACAAGCCAACTAACAACATTCATTTCAGAATTCAAAACTCTAATATCCCCTCTCATAACACTTCTCACTCCTTTAATAACCCTTCTCACATCTCGAATAAACAAATTAAGTTCCAACAATGGAAACTAAACTCAATCTTAAATTACTCATGTGGAATGCAAACGGTATAATAAACTCATAAACTAGAACTTCAAGCAATCCTAAATGAATATAATATAGATATAGCCATGATTTCTGAATCACACTTAACTTCAACTAAAAATATTAAAACCCTTGGCTTCAAAGTGTACCAAAGTAATAACCCGTACAACTCAGCTCACGCTGGCTCAGTAATACTAGTAAGAAATAGCTTAATTCACTAGCTACTTCCTAAAATCAGTGAAACCTATCTTTAAGTAACCAGCATCATTGTATCCTTAAATAAATACACCAATCTGATATTCTTATCTACCTACTGTCATACTGGTCCTAAAATTACTACAGATAACTTCAAAAACTTCTTTGAAACACTAGGGAAATATTTTATACAGTCGTGGGGCTGTTTTGCAACCAATACTAGGGGCAAAATTCTCCTTCTTGCAATAGAAAATTAAAACAAAAAAAAACTACCACCCCCTCAGCCCACATACTGCCCCCCCCCCATTTGAATCTGAGCCCCAATATCTTCGATATATTTATAGCAAAAGTCCCAAGTAATTATAATCTCAACATCTCTAATATAAATGATCCACCATCCGACCATTCACCAATCATACTCGAATTCAAAATGCCCCCTTCAAATAATCTTGTGAAAAATTTCCAATTACCTGGAAAAATTGATTAGCCCACTTTTCAAACATTCATCGAAACTCGCACTCAGCTCAATTCCTCTTTAAAGTCAAGCGAAGACATTGATGATTCAATGATTCAATACTTAAGCTCACAACTGATATATATGAATGCATACAATTAACAACTCTCAGATCTACACACATTACCAATTACTCTCCCCCGAACCATATTAAATACCTCATTCGTGAAAAACGTAAAGCTAGATCTCGATGGCAAAGTCACAAGTACCCGCCAGATAAACTTATTTATAATCAACTAAAAAACAAATTGAGTAAAGCACTTTTTTAACACAGCTCTTTCACCTATAATCAATATATTCAAAACCTAACATTTCATAACTCCTCCCTCTATAGAGCAACAAAAAAAATTTTAAAAATTCAATCAACTCCTTCTCCACTGTGCAATGAAGACAACTCATGGGCTATTTCTTACATAGATAAAACAAATCTATCAAAAATCTTTACACCACAAGATATAATTTTATATAACTACCAAAATCTAATAATCAATCAATCTTTGAACGCTGCTTTAACCATTTCACTTCCAGCTAAACATACTAGTCTCAGTGAAATCGACTTTATAATAAAAAAAACTCCACAAAAAAAAGCTCCGGGTTATGATCAGATTACAAATCTTACTGCCAAAAACTTACCAAAAAAAAATAATTATTATACTGTCTTACATTTATAACGCAATGTTCCGCCTATCATACTACCCACTACCTGGACATTTTCTAATAATACTTATTCCCAAACCAAATAAACCCCCCCCCCCAATTAACAACCTCTTACTGCTCTATCAGCCAACTCCCAACTTTATCCAAAGTGTTCGAAAAGATCCTACTTAAAAGGTTTCTCCCATTGGCTACCGAAGCAAAAATTATTCCAGATATGCAAATTGGCTTCAAACCAAACCATTTCACCATTCACTAATTGCATCGTGTAGTTTATACAATTTCCTAACCTTTAGAAAAAAAACACTATTGTGCAGCCGCCTTTCTTCAAGCATTCAACAGGATCTGTTATGATGGACTTTTATTTAAACTAAAAAATGTGTTTCTGGCGCCTTACTTTCTATTAATTGAATCCTACCTGAGCGACCAAACCTTCATTGTACGCTAGAATTCGAGCTACTTGAACTATTTCAATATTCTAGCCGGAGTTCCCCAAGGCAGTGACATTGCTCCCTTCCTTTACAACATATTTACTCACAACATACCAAAAACATAATTTACCAACCTCAGTACTTACGCTGATGACACTGCAATCATGGCTTCTCATGAAAATCCTGCTACAGCTTCCAAAATGATACAAAGAAACCTTAATATAAACCATCTATGGACAAAGTGGTGGAAAATCAAAATAAATGAATCCTAAGTCTTCATTCATTACATTTTCGTTAAAAAAGAGAAACATGCCCACAAGTTACAATGAAAAATATTCCAATCCCTGTTTGCTGTTCCTTGAAGTAAAATAATTAAGCCTTATTTTAGATAGTAAACTAACTTGAAATTCCCAAATTAAAAAGAAACATAAAGCCCTAAATACTCGCCTTCATTTACTAAGGCCTCTCCTGTGATCTAAAATAAACATAAATAATAAATTATTAATTTATAAATCCCTAATTAAACCACTATAAACATATGGTATCCAGCTATGGGAAACTGCAAAACCTTCCAACACCAAAAAAATTCAAGCCTTTTAATCCACCTGCCTCCGCCTACTTTCCTCTGCACCCTGGTACAAAACGAACAATAATTATTACAAAGATCTTAAAGTACAAACCCTAAATCAAACTGTACTAAAAAAATGTTCTATACTAGATTCCACAATAAACTTCAGTCAAATATAAACCCCTTGATTATTAAACTATCAACTTTTTGCTGATAACCCTCAACGAAGGCTAAAAAGAAAATAGTGCAGGGACATAAAAAAAATAATCCATATTAACTGATATTAAATAATTAATATCACGTGCTGGGTGTTACCACTGGGTAATTCCCCAAAATCAAAATATTCATTATTATTTCTTTTTTTTTTTTTTGTATTTTTTTATCTCATCTAATTAATGTGCATATTGTTGTATAGATTGTAGATTGTCTCAAATAATAATAATAATAATAAAAAAAAAAAAATTATTTCAATGTTTTAAAATTAGGGTACCTTGGGTCACTAGTTCCACTTATAATGTTTTTTCATTTCACCCTGTTACCTACCCGATGTGTTCTTGCACAATAAGTGGATGATTAATCATACACTATTATGATATTAGCACACGTTTTTCTACATTACTGAAAAAAATAATTATTTCAGAAAAAACTTTGGGCACTATAATTTTTAAAACATTAAAATACATAGGTTTCTGAAAAAAATATCCGTAAATTTTGAGGTTCTAAACTCAATTTATTATATCTAAATTTAAAAACTATGCATCTTATATTTTTAATTAAAAAAAATTTCTAATTTCTACCATGTCTACTTCTATCATAATGCAATATAAATTATTTTTTGTTTGGTAAATTGCGGGCACATATTTCTTTATCACTAAATTGACACGTGGAACAAAATGTGTTACTACACCAGGACACAAAATAAGATATCGAGTACCTGGTTAGAACTTGATGACCGGGTACTCGGAAAAATCTCTAGTATAGAGTATTATTGAAAACTCGAGTTGTCACACACAATACATTCTTTCATCCTAAGTTAAATTTCAGGTCAAATTATATCTGACATAGCAAACCCTCAGGTAAAGTACATACATACTACATACCCATGTACCAGAAAAGGTAACAATATATTAGACAAACCAACATAGCTTATTTTCTATTCCAATACATACTTATATTATTTTGGACACACATGATTCTTGCAAGAAGTGTGTGGGCACAGTGAAGAAAATTATTTCACTAATTGCAAAACTTAGCAATGAACAGATTTTTGTTTAGATCCCAGGCTCTCAAGTTTGCCATTGATGAATAGGACCAACTCTGCTTCAAAGCACTCAGCCAAGTCACAAATATTCCATGTTGTTTTTCAATGCTCAATATAAAGCGATTTTGTTTTTAAAGTACCTACAATAATTTTAAAATAAATAAATTAAAGAAAAATTGACTTTTGGTCATGAATTATAACCAATTTCATAACTCAAGTTATAAAAAACACATTATTACCTGTACCTCATCATTCTGAATTCCATATTATCTATGTCAATGTCTAAAAGAAGGTGTTTTGTTAATCTGTCAGCTGTCTTGTCTAAAACAAAAAAACATTTTTTAAAAACACCCATATTTTAATGAGTAATGGGGGTGACACTGATTAGAATTAATACAAACAGCATATGCCAGACGAGGAAAACGACAGACATTATTCAAAGCCACAATAAGTTTGACTAGTCTATAAAATTAGAATTATTGTGTTCAATAATTCAATTAAAACACAATATAACTATTAGTATTTAATTAATATTTAAATGTTAAAAGTATAATACTTTAACAGTAGTCCTTCGCCCAAAGTGCAATTAAAAGTCCGATTTTATTTGACACAGTGCACCCTCAAGTAAAGTACAAACAACATACCTGTATCCCGGAAAAGGTGACAATAAATTAGCAACTTCAACAATAGCATTTTAGGGTCCAATACATTTAATGTACATTGTTCTGGATACACACGGTTCCAGCGAAAAGCATGTGGGTACAAAACACTAGTGAAGGAAATCATTTCACTAAATGCAAAATTTGGCAATGAACTGTTCGTAAGTATGTTATTTGTAAGGTTATCTATACAACTGTAAAATAAAATTGAAAATCATTAATTTATTATCACAATTAATTTTTTGTGTTTTGTATCAATATTGATAAAAGAAACAAGTTCATAAACAGTAAACTGATAAAAATATAAAATGATAAAAGTAAAATAGATAAAATATTTTTCGGGCTATATTATTTAATTTTATTCGTAATATTAATTTGTATTTAATGTAGAATATAAAAAAAAAATTGAGAAGAAAATATTATGATACCGAACTATGGAAGTGAAAAAAAAAATCACGTAGTCAAAAATTCAAAACACAAGGTTTACATTATTCTTTTAGTAAAGACTCACTTTGGATTCATTTACTAATTGGAAACTGTTAAAAGTTATTTGATCAAATTCATTTTTCTGAAAAATTATTGAAAATGTGGTTTGATGAACTGATGAAGAAAAACACAAGTTAGGAAAAGTAATAATTAAATCAATAAGGATATTAAATTAATAAATAAATGATTGATAATGGAAATCAAACTTGTGGAATAATGTGTAAAAAAATGAAAACAGCTTGTTGTGCAGGTACCTTAATTATTTTTAACAATTATAAACACAATAATAATTTTTGTAAAATTTCTTTTGTTATTTAGATAGTTTGAGATTATAGAAAACAATATTCAGACCATAGATATAGAATACTATTTACCTATCTTGCCTGTTATACATTGAGATACTAACCGTTAACTCTTAGGCGCTATTACCTATTACAGTGCCTTAGTTGACACCAGCTGCCTTATGTGTGGTGGTCAATGTTTACATATTTCCATCACAGTATTCTATATCTATGATCCAGACTGACGAACTAAATAAAACATATATATTATATAGATTTTAGGCATTTGGTAGTTTTATAAATTATAAATCTTTCTGACAAAGTAATTATTTATTTTAGATTCTGAGTGGAGCTAAGAATGTATTGGTTTTATAAAGATGTTTATTTTTTTTTTTTATGTGAACACTTTCTACCAGAAAACTTACTCTGATGTAGACCCTTTTCTGAAAAAAAATTTTCTTGGGGGTGGTACTCTAAGGAGATTATTTTTCGAATATGATTTATTAACATAATATTACAACAGTGGATGACGATGCTCCTCGGGGAAAACAGGTCAGAAGTGGTTACGGACGGTTAATGGAACAAGATATTGGTGCCGCGACTGGACGCTAAAACCGAGACCGTGGTTCGTTGCGATATTGACACGACCGGTCGTTAACACGTTAAGGACCATGTTTGTGGTGCGTTTTGAGATAACACTCAGTTCACCATTCAACATTTCACTTCATTTCACTCCTCAGATTGATATTAGGCCGTTCCCGGTGGTGGTGCTAAACCAGGACAACCCACGACGGAGTAGGAGCAAGCCCCAAACTCTCCGCCTGTTTTCCAAAAATTAGTTTAACATGCGTATTCCTTAATTTGATCTTGGCCGATAGGCCGAAAAGCGATACCGTGCAGTCACAAACTGCAGATACTTATACTAAAATCCGCAATCCTGACAATAATCTAAAAAAATTTGAGTGACGTCAGAAACTTAAAAAGTTTCGATTTTTCGACTATCGCTCATTTAAATTCGCGCATAATCACGTTCCATAGTATTTTCCGAAAGTTCACAACCGTATTAACTTTGTTTAAAGCCCGGTCCGATCGTTTAAACGACGACAAAGTACACCACGTCGAAGCAGAACTTCAAAAAGCGCCATCTGACGTCAAAAATCCATAGGTTTTCGTCAGTAGTTTTCGAATACGTATCCGCTATACGCAGTTAACATGCTTGTTCGCGTTTAGTTCGTGTCGGATATAATTGTATATTTTAATATAATGTGTGGATTATAATAATATAACAAAATAAATAACGATGCGAAACTGTTGCTAGACAGAAAAAATTTGGTACCTTTATAGCAATAACGTTATATGGAAACCGTTCACTATTGATGCGCGTTTTTTTGGCTGATGACGAATTTGCTGACAATTTCGACTTGTATTTATTTTGCAAGTACACCCACTTGGTTTTAATGTTATATACTTAATAAATTCAAACCGATGTACGGTTTGATTTTGTTTTCGATCTTATTTCGCCGAAATATTTGCGTAAAGCTGAAATGTAAAATTTATAGTATTGTGTCGTAGTGGTATATTTCTTGCGCGCTCTTATGGTAAGATTGTCAAATTGCACACTCGAAACTTACACCAGAATCGCTTTCATAAACGTAATAACATTGTTGATATAATAATAATTTATGAATGATAATAATGTGTAAAGGTTAAATTGTCCGTTGAAAATTCATCAAAATGTTATTTTACGTCTTGCGTAAACGACGTTAAAAAACGTTAACGATATTATTGTAATTATTACCTATGAGAATGTGTTAAGCGTATTCTGTGTACGGTGGACACATAGCTGGTAACTGGTAGCTCGATCATGTGGTCAGTTAAAACACCAGGACAAAATTCGACAATAATATAGAGATTTTAGTTTTGAGTGTATACGTTCTGAGCATTATGTTATAACGAATGTGTACACACATTAATCACTTGGTATATACAGATGGACTTCTTAAGCTACACATTGCACATATACATGACATATGTGAACAAAATACCAAAATTTAATTAGCTAGGTACAATAATGGATCATATTATACCTATTAGATATATGTATGTATTATAATATAGTGCCAATGTCTTTTCGTAATTCGTAATCAGTATCGTTAGCGACGCGAAGCATTTGTCTGTGAAGTGTGAAACAATCCCAGTAAAATAAAATAGTAAAAAAAACCGCATACAACCAAAAATACTAGACGAATCGGAGCCGCAGAAAAAAAAAACGATTGGACGTTTCTGTACTCGGTCTTTTTTGTTAACATATTATCAAATAACAACAAATTGCTGCACACATTCACCCACCTAACTTATTAATTAATGACTGAAATATTTGATGATTTATATTTATTTGTATGTATTACTCTTTTAGTTTTATATGTACTAGATATGATCAATAACTGATAATAATGTTCGATTCAAAGACCGAATTCAGTAATATTAATATTACTTTTTTTTATATAAAAATATAATTGAATGTACGAAAACATTAAATATATATATATATATATATATATGAGGGAATATTTTATAAAAAAATAAATTAATATAGTAGGTTAAATTTGTTGTTATTCATAAAAATAAAATGAGAAAAACTAGAAAATGTAGGTATTAGTTAAAAAATATTACAGCCTTTTTCCTATGAACAACTTTACTCCCAGCAATTTTACTACGATTTACAATAATAACACTTGTTCTGAAAGGAAATCTGACTGGGAAGGTATTATAAGAAGGTCATTTTTCAATTTTACCTAATGTCTTCACAACAAATATGAAACACATTGGTACAATATTTAAGAAAATTATGTCTTTTTAATTATTTTACTATAATATGACATATATATTGTTGAAAAAGCATCATTATAAACTGAACTCCACTCAGAATTGTTTTTCGTTAGCAATGGTTTATCGTTGCCTATAAATATACATTAAATTTCCTTCTGTATCCTATTTTCCCAACTCCCCACCTACAACAGTGGCTGCACCCATCCCCATTATCCTAACTTATTTGTAACTTATACTTGATTTTATGATTGGTTTTATTTTTATAGAAAATATTGAGTACCTACCAATTTCAAATTTTGAAACTAAAATTTATACAGCTTAAAAGAGTTTAGGAATTTAAAAAAATTAGGAGAATATCATTTGTCGATGTTATATAGAGAAGATTTAAGTTGTATCCTTCTAGTTCTCACTTGGTATTAACATTTATTCATTGTATTCATATTTTACATATTACATATGTTATAACTTTATTATATTTTATAGTATACCAATCATGGAGAAATATTTACAAGTGCTGTTAAATGGTTACGAGTTAATAAGTTTTGAGAATTACTATTGATATAAACTGTTTACATCTAAACACCGCTCTTTGTATTTGTAAAACCTGGAGAAGTTAATTTTATTGTTTATGTTATTACAAAATGGTAATAAAAAATTTTTTTTTCAGTTTGGATAATATTCAATTACACACATTTCTATCAATGCTCTTAACCTATGAAGTATTCAATGACTTCAAATATTTGAAGTCAGTTGTAATTTGATTGAAATAACACATTTTAGAAATGTAATAAATACAGTGGAACTTCCATAAATTAAAATTCAAAGGAAATGGAGTTTTTTTCGATTTACTACAGTTATCAAGGGTTTAGGAAAAAATTTTAGGTTAGAGTTTTTAAAATGTATTATGAATTAATATTAATAATTAGTTAATTAATTATAAATATTATTTATTATCAAATGAAAAATATAATAATAAACACAATGAACGCGATTAGAATAAATTATAGGAAGCACAAGCTGATTAGACAAATGATTATTGAAATTATATGTCTATATCAGGAACACAGAATGTTTGAGTTATTTATAATTTTTCTTTTGAGTAATCGAGGTTTTTCAAGAGACCGGCATTTATTTCGACTTATCGAGGTTCCACTGTACTATATATTATAATATTTTGTGTATTATGGGTATACTGTTAAATTGCCGTTTAAATAATTATTTATCTTCACAATCTATTAATGCATATTTTATTTGAATCTTTGTATTAAGTGTGTGTATTATTTAATGTAACTTAATAATATTATACAATTAGAGCAGTTGAAGGAATTTAATGCTATTTATATTTGATTTACGAAAACAATTTCGAAATGATTCAAAAATAATATTGTTGGTTAATATGTTAACTGATGTAACCCTTATTTTTTTCGAACTCACTTATGATCAAAATGGGTAATAATATATCATTATTAGATAACAGTATAGCCAAATATTGTAATCCTCAAATTACTATTTTTTTTTGTCTAAATTCAATTTAATTTTTTAATTAAGCTTTCTAGTTAATTGTATCACAAAAATAACTATATTATAGTACCTCCTATTGATTGTAATTTTTTAAATTTATTGTCTTTCGTGTTGATTCTTCTTTTCATTTTTTTAAAATTTAAAACATTAATGAAATTAAAATATATATGAAATACCAACTTTATTATATATAATAGTAAAAAAAAAACTACAATGATTAGAATATATTTATTATGCGAGTATTAAAATATTAACCAATATATGCAATACACATTCTATTATAGTTTCTAAATATATTTAAATTTTGTATTATTTTAATTTATGTAAAAATTGCTCCTAAATAAAATTTCAATATTTAAATTGTAGATTCATTGTTTTGCATTAAGTTTGAAAGGAATCAAAATATTAAACACTTGCTTTTTTATAGGTTTTTTTTCTTAATGCAAGAATACATATTATTTATTTAATTAGGTAACATAATATTATGCATATTATTTACATTTAGTATTTCTCTGTTTAATTAGTAACTAGAGTTGTTAGAGCAATACTTCATCGATTACTTTCTGGTCTAATGCCGATACATTTTTCACAGTTGTGTAAAATATGTCAGCTATTAAATTATTGAAGTATATTTAATACACCTAACTTAACCAATATATTTACAATGGTAAATGTTAAAATAGTCAGCATTGTATAATTGCATTTAGTAAATAAATCTGTAATTAGTATAAATATCAAATCAAAGTAAATGTCATTATACACAATCACATAGGTATACAATTAAATTTTTCAAAAAATATATACATAGCATATAGCACAAGATAATATAATTTTACCATCAATATTAAAGTTTGTTAACTCCGATTTGTTACAATGAATGATTTTTGTATCTTTTCTATAGGTACTGTACTCGTTAATTTACGTCTAAATTGTGTGTTTCAGCATTTGTCTACATTGTCAAATAATATAATTTCTATACGATTATTATCAATTTTAGATTCTAAATGTATTAACCAAAGTTTAGCTATTAGTTTTATTATAATGTGGTTTTTTTGGTTATTAGTAAATAATTTAAAATTTTTTTCATGCTTTTTATATTTTTTTCTGTGGAATTTTTGCTCATTGATATCTTATACTATATTTTAAATATTTACCAACACTTTTAGCACTTCACCCTTTAGTCCTTTTTTTTTTTTATATCATTGTAGGTACTTACTGACCTACAACAAAAAAATAATAAATTTGTATTATAATTATTAAGCACAAAACTATTGTAGGTATAATAATATTTCAGTATGTTGATATAAAAACATTTGATAACTTCAAAAAAAAAAAAAAGCGTCATAAAATAAATGTCAAGTAAATTTCTATATATTCGTAGTTATCAAGTTTGTATATTATCATTTTAATGCTGATGTGATCAATGTGATGATGGACAATGCCGAGGTGAATTTGATCGTACAATACTTCAATCTAAAACAATACAATTATATAGTAAAGATACCTACATTAGTACATTATAAATTATTATCTCGAGGTAA